CATCTGCCTCCAGAATGCTGGAATTAAAGGCATGTACCACTATACCAGGCCATAATAGAGTTTTTAATGAGAACTGCTTAAATATATTGCTATAATTTGCCCCCAAGTAAGAAATTCTACTACCCAGGTAATAAAAATTCTGGGTTCAGGAAACGCTACAAGCTTGCTCTGTACAAGCCTGAGGTCCCCAGAACCTATGTGAATCAGGTAGTGGCTATCTTTAATCCTAGCACTTGAGAGGCAGGTATTAGATCCCCAGACTGGACAGAACTGGTGAGCTCTCAGTGGTTTAGTGAAGGGACCTGATCTCAATAAATAAAACAGAGAAACTGAGGAAGGCACTTGGTGTTAACTTTAGGCTTTCATACACACAATCTGCACATTCACAACAATGAACACATGAACATGCATACAGATATGCACACACAAAAAATTAAAATATCTTTGAAAAATAAAAAATATATTTTATTCTAAGTAAGTCTAAAAACATACCCCACTACAAAATCTACTCTGGAATAAAACTGGTTATAAATGTGCTGTCCCTGAAAACCTAGAAGAGAAGACTATCAAGAGAAAGAAGAGATCAGTATGGAAATCTCACTGCCAGGAACAGATACAAACTAGTAAGTGGAGTACAGGTGGATGTTTATTTTCCTACTAGTATCACAACTGCATCTGACATGCTGGAGGCGTAGCTTACAGGTAGTGTTCCCATGCCTGTATCTTAAGGTCCCAAGCTCCAGCACCCCAACAAACAAGCATGCATAAGCCTTTGCATCTGGCCTTGGAGAGCTTTACTGATCAGAATGGTACAAAGTTCTTCAGAGAATCCATCAGAGATTTGACAAATCTTTTTTTCCCAGTCAGTAGTTTTAAACAAACAAACAAAAAAAAATTTTTTTCTTTTTAAGACATTTTACATCCCAAGGGCTCCCCCTCCCACCCCCGTATCAACCTTCCCCTGCACATCAAGTCACACCAGGACTGAGCGTATCTTCATCCCCTGAGGCCAGGCAAGGCAGCCCTGCCAGGAGGAAAGTTATCCAAAAGCAGGCAGTAAGAGTCCATGTTAGAAACAGTGACCCCACCTCCACTTGCCAGGCAGCCCATATGAAGACCAAGCAGCCCAATGGCTACATGTGTGCAGGGGCCAGTTTTAAACAAATTTAATCTGCCCACTCGACCAGACTTAGGTCCTGAAGAAAAACCAAAAACCAACCAAACAAAAAACCCATAGAACCTTTTACTACTTTGGGAATTCAGGTGTCTTGTCAATTTGGGATAGTTGGTTGGTAGATTTAGTATATCACTTTAGGAACTAGCATTAACACTGAGGGAAACTGGCTTTCCCTAACCACCCACCCACACACACATTTTTTGAGGGAAGAATGGATGATACTCTGGAAGAATTCTACTACTGATGTACAGCTCTCTTCTTCCCCCATCCTCCCCCTTTTTTTGGAAACCGGGTCTAAGTTGCCAAGGACAGTCTGATCTCTGGATCCTCTGCTTTAGCCTCCTGGTAGCTGATAAGAAGCACTTAGTAGCACCTCTGACTCTCCCCACCAGTCCACTCCCCAGCCCACATACATACCTTTCGGGGGAAAGAGAGAATGAATTTAATGTGGTCTGAAGTTACTTTTCACAAAAGTTTGTGATATTATATAAATAACTTTATATTTACTCAAGGGAAAGAAACATGTTTGGCTTCATAAAGGAGATTCATGCGTATATAATTTTCAAACATATTAACTTTGGAATTGCTACTTTCCTACAGCAAGAAATAATTTTTTTTAAAAAAGAAATAATTTATTTTGGATGTCTAGAAAAGATTTTAGTTGTTTTAGCTCCTGGTTCAGTTAAATACTGCCTGTATTTTGTTAAAAGCTACATATGCTGAGCAGGGCAGAAGGAAGAATCAGAATTCCCAGCCTGTGGGCTGGGGAGATGGCTCAGTGTTTAAGAGCACTTGCTGCTCTTGCAGAAGACCCAGGTCTGGTACTCAACGTTGAGGGATCCGCTCACTACAGTGTGTAATCCTGGCTCTAGAGGAGCCAATACCACGTTCTGGCTTTTGTGGGTGCTGCACGCACATGGTGCACTGACCTGCACACGGGTAAACACTCATACACAGACAATACAAATGACATCTTTTTAAAACTCCATCTAGTAGGAGAAATGACACTAAAATAACTAATGCCATGATAGTGCAAAAACAACAGTGAATGCATAGAAAGAAGTTATTTCCTAGATAGAGCATATCGGAAATCATCTCAAGATACAGTTCATGGTGCTGGAGGTAGTTCAGTGATTAAGTTTTATTTTCTGGTCTTACAGAGGACCTGAGTTTGATCCCCAGTATCCACATCAGTTAACTCTGACTGCATATCTGACATCCTTTTCTGGCCTCCACACTCAGGCACACATATACATAAATAAAAGCAAATTAAATCTTGGAAAAATTCAGCATATTTATCTCCTGCCAATTTACTCAAAATACTGAGTATCCAATATGAACTTGGTTCTGAGGACATAGCAGACAAAACTTAGCTGCCTTAAAGGAGCTTTCTGGATGACAGGGAGGTGTGTATTCCCTAGGTGAAAAATCAAAGTAAATCTAGCTGTGTGTCTTTTATTTATTTATTTTTTACAACTTATTCATTTTATATCATGATTGTAGCCCCCTCCCTCCCTTTCCCCCCAATCCCTTACCCCAGTCCACTGTAAGGGGGAGTCCTCCTCCCCTGCCATCTGACCCTAGCTAATCAAGTCTCATCAGGATTGCCTGGATTCTCTTCCTCTGTGGCCTGGCAAGGCCCCATTGCCAGGTGGAAGTGATCAAAGAGCAAGCAACCAAGTTCATGATGGAGGCTGCCTCTGCTCCCCTTATTTAGGTACCCACATGGACACTGAGCTGTCAATTGGCTACATCTGAGCAGGGATTCTAGGTCCTCTCCATGCATGGTCCTTGGTTGGTGCATCAGTCTCTGCAGGTGCCCATGGGCTCAGCTTTTTTAGCTTTGTTGGTCTCTTTGTGGTAGCTTTATGTCTTTTCATGCTCTTTTTACAGTATTTTGGTCTCATAATTCATGTTTTATGGCATAGAAATAAAAAAAAATTACGAACTGGGATGGATCATAAAGACATGTCTGTCTATTCATGTAACAACTGGGAAAATTGAGGTTTAGAAATAAAAGGATTTTCTCAAGAGCACATAGCTGGTTCATCATTTCTTGAAAATGCAAGGGAAATAACTGTTTTGAAGGCCAGTCATGACTGTATCTTTTATAGAGGCCCACAGCACCAGTTTTTCAGGTTTGAAACTATCAGAATCATAGTCAAAAATATCTGATATTTTTCTGTATCTGCATCCAAATTTCCTAAATCCTGAGCAATCCATAAGGACTTTCACAGTACAAACCTACTTTCATAGTGCATGTCAGGCTTATAACTATTCCTAATTGTACTTATCTGTATCTGTGTAAGCGTACGGGCATGTATGTAGAGGCTGCAGGACATCATCTGTGAATCAGTTCTCTTGACAACTGTGTGCCAAGACAGAGGAGTTGAAGGTGAGAGGACGATTTTGTGGAGGTGGTTCTCATCTAGCTTTACATTGTTTCTGGAGAGTGTGTGCACCTGGTTTCTCTTTGCTGGATTAGCCATCTTCCTGACCCCTGTAATTCTTGATTAATGGCTGTCTGTCATGAGAAGAATGAACTGAAAGCAGTAACAGTGGGAACAAAACCACTAGATGACTAGAGCAGGTATCAATAATAGAAAAATCAGAGTATGAATTGGTGGTATGAATATTTAGCAATTGATTTATGGGAAGGTAGAAGGCAAAGTCAAAGAATTAGTTGTAAAACTTCTGAATGGGCCACCTGGTCGACGGTATGTCAGGAACCACTGATGATTGCTGTGGGGAGAGGGTGTTGCAGGGTGAACGCCTGTGGCCAGGACACGTTTGCTGGGTAACGTGACTTCAAGCATTGCACATAAATTTGTGCTGAGTGAATTACCACACGATAGCATAAGGGATGGGTTAGTGAATGCCAATCAGGCAGGCCAATCAGGATTTTACCTAAAACACTGGGGAGGACTGAGCCTGGCTGTGGCAGCATGTGCTCATAACCCCAGCACAGAGGTAGTGGCAGAAATATCTGGAGCCCAAATTCATCCAAAGCAAGTTCAAGGCCACCTTGGGTGACATGAGATCCTGTCTGGGAGCTGTGGCAGTGAGGAAGCCAGTTGTCCAATTCCCAAAATACCAGTACCTGAAAGGTGGAGGCAGAAGGGGCGGGCGCGGCAGCGCAGGGCGGCCGGGCCCCGGACACACCACACCATGGCCACCACCCGGGTAAGGGCGCCCCGGCCCCGCGGATGGGTAGGCTTTGGCAGGCAGTTTAAGGTTGGCTACAGAAAAGTTCTTGGCCAGTCTGGATAGACTACATGAGACAGTGTCTCAAAAACAACCAATCAAACACTCAAACCAGCCAACCAACCAAATAAAGAGAAAGGAAGACTATCGGAAATACATTCGATCCAAAGTAGACTGTTGCGGCACTTGCCTGTACTGTTCCTCTGTCCAGAGGCAAAGGCTGGAGGAGCTCCAGTTCAAAACCAGCTTGAAACAGATCCTATCACAACCTAATAACGAAACCTCCTGCAGCTCCAAACAGCTACTGGACTAAGTTGGGGAAGGTAAAAGGCAAATTAATAAAAGACCCCTCGTTTCAAAAACAGCCAGTCGAGGAGTGCAAACAGTTGCGGTGAGTGCCCTACCAGTCCTGGGGGCCTGGCCTCCCGGGGCCGGAGCCCTTGTTCCGCATCTGGTTACTAGCTCCCAGCACAGGTGTCCAGACGGTGACCGGAGGGAGGGCCTCGACACCCGGCGCCTTCCCGACCTCCAGCCCGCCACTTCTGCCTCCCAGTTGTCCTGCTGCCCACCGCCCGGCCTCTCCCACGCCTCAAACTCCCCTCTCGAGCCCCGCCTTTACCGCTCCTCCAGTGTCGCGCGCTCGCCTCGCACCTCACCAGCGCCGCCGCTGCCGCCTCCGCTCCCTCGCTCTCACCGCGCCGCAGTCCCAAGAGCCGCTCTTCAGCATCCGCTTTCCCCGCCCCCGTGGCGCGCCCGCACCAATCAACGCTCGTCTTGAAGGCCGACCAATCGTGTTCGTCCGCCGCAGCCAATCCTTCCGCCGGCTGCCGTGAGCGACGTGGCCGAGGCGCGCCGACGTCCAATTACCCGGATGGAAGTCCAAGCCCCGCCCCCACCACGCCAGCCAGTTAGAGCCGCGGGTAGCAGATGCTGTTAACGGAGCGCGCTCCTCGCTGAGAATTAAAGAGCCAATTAGAGGCGCCTGGAGACCTCTAAGGCAATTGCAGAGGAGCTTGTGCGGCCTCAACCCGCGAGGGACTTCGGCGCCCCGAGGCTCCGGGGGTTTGGGTCATCGTGGGCGTCCCGGGTCCTGCAGACTCGCTCCACAGCGCTAGGGGAAGCCGCCTCCTGATGGGAGGTGCGGCGCCGCTTATCTGTTAAGAATTATTTCCTGGATCACCCCCCACTACCCCTATTTTGGCCAGGGGACAGGAAGGCATCTATGCTAAAGGAGTGAAACGGGGCGGGCCCCGGACGCGCCGCACCATGGCCACCACCCGGGTAAGGGCGCCCCGGCCCCGCGGAAGGGGAGGCTTTGGCAGGCAGTACTTTTCTTGAAAAGCTGAATTCCAGCTCGTTCCCGGACCGTTAGGGACGGTTGGCCCTGCTGCCCCCTTCCCTGCGGCGAGGGGCACAGTCGCTCCGAGTCATCAGGAGATGTTTTGCACTATCGTCATGCCTGGCGCGTGCTGAGCACTCAATAAACGTTTGTTGAGTGAACACGACATTGTGTCTGGTCATTCAGAGGTCGTTGGGTCAGTTTCCCCGTTACGACGTTATTCTAGGGACAGGGGCTTGCTATGTTGCCCATGCTGTCCTCAAATTCTCTTTGCTCAAGGTCTTGAGTAGCTGGGGCTTAGAAACATGCTTGGCTTCTAGTCATTCAAAAAATATATATTTGGATAAATAATACATGCACCTTCTAGAAGATTCACAAGTAACGAAAGGTTATTGTTGAAAATGTCTCTTCAGAGGCAACCAGTACAACCAGTTTTTTTTTTTTTTTTTTGGAGGGGGGAGGAAATTTCACAAACCATTCCATAGTTAAACTACGTATAAATGTATTTTCACACAGCTGAAAACATGCGATATATACAATTTTAGAACTTCTCTTTTACATATTCTAGAAAGCTTTTCATAGCAATGTATCTCTCTGCCTCATAGTTAAATCTCAAGATATGACATGGATATAGAAGATGTATTTACGTAGAACTTTTACATAGTGTTTATTTTGAAGCATACTTCACTTTGTACTTTAAAGAATTTTAAGACGAGGTGTAGCCCTTGAAGGCTGTAGCCCTGGATGGCTTGGAACTGCCTGTGTGGACCAGTTTTGTTTTGTTTTGAGACAGGGTCTCTTTTTGTAGAGCAGGCTGGACTCAGACTCACAGAGATCCACCTGAGCATATATCTTACATGCTCTTAAATGACTTCATGGTAAACACTCAGTGACACAAACATTAGCTCAAAGGATTGTGTCTTGTTACTTCATTTGGATGGACACAGCTTTGCAAAGATTTTTCCATGAATGTTTTTCCAATTTTCATTCAATTAAAAATATTTTAAAAGTATTTGATTTAGTATTGCCAGATTGCCTTCCATAGATGTTTAAGAAGTTTTGCACCCATCAGGCATGCATGAAAAGGACCTGTTTGATAGCATACTTATGCCATATATTGTCACACAGCTTGATATTTTTTTTTTTGACAATCTGATAGTGGAACTTGCCATGTCATTCCAATTTTATTTTTTTATTTCATTTATTATAAGTAGGGGTGTATGCAGTGTGTAATACAAGTGCAATTGTGTTTTTGGTAAATTGTTTACATGCTTTGTTAATATTTTACTGGTTATTAAATCTTAATATTTGTTCATTGTACATAAGTTAGAAATATTTCCCTCTTTTTCCAGTTTCCGTTTTTATTCATTTAAATATTTCTTATTTTATGATTATATGTGTTTTGCCTGCATGTAAGTGTACTATGTGTGTGCCTGGTGCCCACAGAGGCCAGAAGAAGGCTCTGGATCCCCTGGAACTGGAGTGACAGGTGGTTGTGAACTGCCATGTGGGTGCTGGGATTTGAACCTGGGTCCTCTGAAGAGCAGTCAGTGCTCGTAACTGCTGATCCATCTCTCCATCCCCTCGGCTATGTAATTTCAAATTTTGTTTATGGTTTTGCAGTACAAATAGCTGTTTGTGTATACGTATGATGTATGCACATGTCTGTGTACATGGGTGCATGTGATGTGCAGGGTGTGTGAGCCAGAGGTCAAACATGGAATACATCTTCCTCAATCATCCTACACCCTGAAACACAAGAAGCTGGGCCTGGCGGTGCAGGCCTGAATCCCAGCACTCAGGAAGCAGAGGCAGGTGGATCTCTGAGTGCAAGGCCAGCCCGGTCTGTAGAGTGAGTTCCAGGATAGCCAGGGCTACACAGAGAAACCCTGTGTCAAAAAAAACAAAACAACAACACAACCCAGAAAAACCCAAACAGGGCCTCTCACTGAACCTGGAAGTAGTGTTTAGGCCAGGCTAGCTGGCCAGTGAGCTGCAGAGACCCGCCTGTCCCTTCACTTCCTGGATACAATATCACTCCAGGCTTTTTGTGTGAGTGCTGCCAATTTCAGTTTAGGTACTTGTGCTTTCAGAGCAGGCCTTTAACTTGCTGGACTATCTTCACAGCCCCAGTAATTTCTATGTAGTTGAATTTATCAACATTTTTCATAACTTTTGGGTTTCATATCACATTTAGAAAAGTCATTACTTAAAATTATTTTAAAACCCTTGTTTTTTTAAAAAAAA